GGTCTCACACTTCCTGATTCTGGTTTTGAACTCCTGACCTTGAGCAATCCGCCCGCCTCGGCCTCCCAAGAGCTAGGATTACAGGCGTGAGCCACAGCGCCCGGCCGACAATTAACTTTTAAGAACTCTTGCGGTGCTGTACTGGTCGACTTCTGTCTTCTGGCTCCACTTTGTTCTGTTCAGTCTCTGCAGGTGCTGGTGTAGAGTGGGAAGTTCAGTCTGTGGTCAGTGGTGGAATGGGCGTGCCTCTGCCTCAGGTGTCAGTTGAGGACCCAGATGACAGTGCTGCTGTGGTAAAATGGGCCTCCTGATGCTGTGGAGTCAGGGGCTGACCACAACTGCTACAGGTTTGGGGTAAAGGATGGGTCCCTGGCTTCCTTGGCGCACCCAGTGCAGGATATATAGAGAATTAAAAAAAAACTTAGTAAGGTTACCTTTTTCTTTATATAAAGTGACTTTCAGAGTTAATTTCTAGTATCATGTTAATTAGTATTTGGGGCTGGTTGGGAAGCAGTAGTTTAGTTTAGCAAAGAAACATGATTGGTAGTCCTTGGCTTGAATTGATGTTCAAGGTGGGAGTGTGGGGGATATTAATGAATTCTTTTCTCATCCCTGGTGGTTCTCAACAGTTTTAGAGCTTTATAATAATTTTTTCTTCATGTTGCAGTTAAAGGAGAGAAGTGCAGGGAGAAAGGGAGTCTATACCACCTTGTCTGGAAAGGATACCAAATATTTTTGCTATTGCTTTGAAACATTATTTAAACCTATTTCTATTTATGCTGTCCATTAGAAAAGTCGATGAGTTGGGCAAACATTTGATCCTTTTGAATTAATGTATATATTAGGGATGCTTGTACTGTGGCATGAGAAAGATTTTTTTTTTTTTTTTTTTTTTTTTTGAGACAGAGTGAGTGCCGTGGCATTAGCCTAGCTCACAGCAACCTCAAACTCCTGAGCTTAAGCGATCCTCTTGCCTCAGCCTCCCGAGAAGCTGGGACTACAGGCATGTGCCACCATGCCCGGCTAATTTTTTCTATATATATTTTTAGTTGGCCAATTAATTTCTTTCTGTTTATAGTAGAGACGAGGTCTCGCTCTTGCTTAGGCTGGTCTTGAGCTCCTGACCTCGAGCAATCCACCCGCCTTGGCCTTCTAGAGTGCTAGGATTACAGGTGTGAGCCACCACGCCCGGTCAAGAAAAAATTCTTGACTTGAAGATTAAGATAGAAAATAAAATAAACTTTTTGTTGAAAATCTAAGGGAGGAAAGGGCATGGCATGAAAGGAAGAAGGAATGCTGGCCCTGAGGATGAGTAGGTTGGGCTTTTATTGGAATTTTAAAGAGCAGAGAAGTTGTTATTGTGAAATCATAATGGAAGGCAGTTATGGACTAAATATTTCAGCTCTGAGTTTTTTTGTTTTTTTTTAAGTAGTGATGAGGTCTCACACTTCCTGATTCTGGTCTTGAACTCTTGACCTCACGTGATCTTCCAGTTTTTAAATAAACTCGTTAACTGGAAGAGCGAGTTGGCAATCTGATTTATTTCTGGTCTTTATTAGAAGTATAACAAAAGTAAAATTTTGTTAAAGTATAGTGTTTGTTCCTAAAACTAAGTATAATAGGAATAAATGTTAGACGTCTAAGTACCTAGGTATTTGTTTTTCCTTGTTTCCATCCAAGCTGGGAAGTTGATTTCTGCCATCATTTTTTTTTTCCACATCAGACAGGTAATGTGCCAACTGAAATTGTAACAAGGTTTGAGGGAGGCATATCTCACACATAAATGTGAAAACCCAATCCTGCTTATGAACTACAGAAGGATTGCCCACCATTTTTATTTCTTTTAAGTTTTTATTTGTTTTTGTTTGGCGACAGTCTCACTCTTGCTCGGGCTAGAGTGCTGTGGTGTCAGTCTAGCTGACAGCAGCCTCAAACTACTGGGCTCAAGCCATTCTCCTGCCTCAGCCTCTTGAGTAGCTGGGCCTGTAGGCGCAGACTACCATGCCCAGCTAATTGTTTCTATTTTTGGTAGATATGGGGTCTTGCTCTTGCTCCAGCTGGTCTTGAACTCCTGAGCTCAAGCATTCTTCCTGTCTCGGCCTTCCAGAGTGCTAGGATTACAGGCGTGAGCCACTGCGCTTAGTTTAGCAGGCAAATCACAATCATGGTGGTTATAGCTATTGAAATACATATAATATGTTTTGCCACATGTATGTGATGATATTTTCAAAGTGAAATTTTACCTATCATTAATTTTGTGTGGAAGGACACAGTTGGCAACCTTAAACCTTCAACTGCATGTTTCTCACCCATTTAATAGGTTGTAAATTCAGAAACCGTGATTTTGAATAAGAATCCAGAGTCAGTTAACATTGCAGTTGAAAGAATGACTTCTGTGAACTCTGAACCTTCAGAAAAAGCAAGTGAAAAGATTAATTTGTCACTGGATCGTGATGAGTCTGTTTCTGAAAGGTAGGCATTTCTATAAAAATGCATAAACTTATTTATCTAAATCTATGTTTGTAAACATATGCCCTTATCTCAAGATTAAAATTGCTTAAAGCTTCATATTGATCATTTTCACAGGATCACTATCTTTGCTCATTATGAAGGAATGAATTTGAGTCTCAAACTTTAATCATTATTGTTTGAACAATACTGAAATTTTGAATTAGTTAGGTGATCAGGTTTTTCATTGTGATGCTTCCCATCTTTGGTATAGTGATCAGAGTGACCCTATGGGTCACCCCAGTAGTTTTCAGTTATATACTTGGAAAAATTGAGTTGTTATGAAACAGTGGTTTTAAAAAAATGACACAGAAGCTGGGCGTGGTGGTACATGCCTGTGCCTATAGCTTAGCTACTTGGGAGGCTTAGGCAGGAAGATGATCGCTTGAGCTCAGGAGTTCGAAGGGATAGTGCACTATGTTGGTGCCTGTGACTAATCACTGCGCTCCAGCCTGAGCAAAGTGAGACCCTGTCTAACAAAATTACAGACAAGTAGGTAAGACTAGGGAAAAAGTGCCTAAAATTAGTTGCCTTGCTGTTGAAAGTGGTATCGTGATAACTTCAAATTAGAGTGAAGAGGTTAACTTATTTGTCTAATTGAGTAATAAAATAGCTAACACATGTAATCTCCAGTCTAGCTAAAAAGATCTGGGCCTGGTAGGGAAGAACTAGTTCAGTTTAACAGAGCAACATGATTGGTGGTCCTGGCCTGGATTGATGTTCAAGGGAGCGGGCAGGGGAGACATATTAATGAATTCTTTTCTTATTTGTTCCTGATAACATTTTTTGGAGCTTTTTAAGATTATTTAAAAATAAGAAAACCGAACGATGGCCATAGTTTGAAGAGCAAACACCCTTTCATGCAAATAAATATGCATACACAAGGAGACTATAAAACAAAGGAGAAGCATTTCAGATCTACACCATTTACAGTAGATTTCTGATACTTGAGGATTTAACATGCGGTTTTGACTCTTCAGGAAATAACCTCGGTAGTCCATGATATTGAAGCCCACATTTTTTGAGCCAGGAAGCTGCTGCCAAGAAAACATTTAGTTGGTGAAGGCGAGTCACATTTCAGTGACTCTTTGTTATTACCCTGTGTTGATGCGTATGCTGAAACTCATGAAGTCAAAAAAGGAAAATTAAAGTGCTGAGATGGAAAGGAAAAAGTTGAAGACACCATTGAAATATAGCACTTTATAGATGAATATGTCTAATTTAGCAGTGGCTTGTGTCTCTGTGAAAAAAACACTGTACTGAAGGAAGAACCTGCAATTTATCAAACTGTTTCAGGCAGCACTCTCAGACAGGTGGTGAGTGAGTTTGCAAATAATTGTAACAAATCTGTAACTTGTCTCTGATGGCTTCCTTGGCGAGTTTATGAAAAATTTAAGAAAGAAATAATAGCTTTAAACAAACTATTCCAAAGAATAGAAAAAGATGAAACATTCTTCATTTCATTTTATGAGGCTAGCATAATGCTGAAACTAAAGTCAATTTTAAAATTTTATAGAAGTGGAAAATTACATCCCACTTTAACTCACAAAATAGATGCAGTGTCCTAAACAAGGTTCTAGTAGACCAAGTTCAACCATCTGCAAAAATTGAGTTTGACTCAGGAATGCTGCAATGTTGGTTTAACAGTTAAATCAATCAATGTAATTTGCCATGAGAAAAATCATTATCACCTCACAATAGATGCAGGACTTGATAAAGTATTTATGATTAAAACAAATTCTTGGCAGACTCAGAATAGTAGGTCACTTCCTTAATCTGACAGATTATCTACGAAAACCCTAAGACAAATCTGATGGTAAAACATTGGAAGTGTTCCCCTTGAGATACAAAACAGGAGAAAGATGCCTGCTGTCATCACTTTATATAGCATACTGTTTGTCTTAGCTAATGCAGGAATGCCAATAATTGGGGGGGGTGCAGAGAAGAAAAATATAAAGGATTAGCAAAGAAGGGATATTATTATTACTATCCTTGGATGATTAGAGTATATAGGAAATCCAAAAAAACCTACAATAAAATGCTAGGATTTATACAAGATTATACAAGATTGCTGAACTCAAATATACACAAAATCAGTTGTATCCCTCTATACTGGATTTAACCAATGATGAAATGAAATTTTTAAAAAGATACAGCATTACAGCAGCACCAAAATACATCAAGTACCTAGGAATACATTTAACAAGGTATGCAGTAATTCTGAAGAAAAGCACAAAACATCATTGAGAGATATTAAACAAGAATTAAATGGACAGAAGTTATACTATGTTTATGGTTTGGACAAAGCAGTATTATAAAATGTTTTCACTTTTATTCAAGTCAGTTTTATTGATATCCTAGTGTATAATTTCATGAAACTGAATAAGCTTCTTTGATTCTAAAATGTGTATGTAAATGCAATGGGTTAAGAGCCCAAGGATACCCCTTTAAGTTGAGAAACTAAATGGAGGGAACGGGCCATCAGAAATCAGAAAATTACAAAGCTACAGTCATAGGATAATGTGATATTGGCAAGTATTGAACAACAGATCATTGTAACAGAGTCCAGAAACCCATGCTTATATGTACATGATGTGATACATGATGGAGATTGTGTGACTTTCAGTAAATGGTGCTATCTTAATTTGCTATTTATGTTTGGAACAATATGAAATTGGACCCCCATTGTCTTGCTATACAAAAAAAATTAATCTATCGTGGATTAAGAAACTAAATATCTAAAGGAAAATTATAAAGATTTTAAAATATAGAATGTCTTACAAACTTGGATAGGGAAAGATTTCTTAAGAGACCCTTGCCATAAAAGAAAAATTAATCTGTTTTACCACCTTAAAATTAGAAACTTCTTTTCTCAAAGGGAACTATAAAAGATAGTGAGAAGACAAGCCATCGAGTGGGAGAAGATACTGGCAGCACATATAACCTGTAGAGGACTAGTACCCAGAATATACATAAAAAGAACTTCAACAAATCAATAAAAGCCAGATAATACAAATGAAAAATGGGCAAAAGACTTGTACGTCCATTTCACAAAAGAGGAATTCCAAATGGCCAATAAACAAAGTGTTCATCTTCATTAGTAATCAGGGAAATGCAAATTAAAACCACAATGAGGCGGGCAATTGCTCAAGGTCAGGAGTTCGAAACCAGCCTGAGCGAGACCCCATCTCTACCAAAAATAGAAATAAATTAATTGACCAACTAAAAATATATATACAAAAAATTAGCCGGGCATGGTGGCGCATGTCTGTAGTCCCAGCTACTCGGTAGGCTGAGCATAGTAGTCCTACGAGATGAGGTTGCTGTGAGCCAGGTGACGCCCACTGGCACTCCACCTATAACCCTGGGCCAACAAAGTGAGACCTCTGCTCAAAAAAACAAAAAAAAAACCACAATGAGATACCATTCATATCAGTAAGGAAAAAAAAAAAACATTTAAAAATCGGCAATAACCGGTATTGGTGAGTTTGAAAATGAAGGGAATTGTCTTTATGACTATTTTGTTTTGATCCGACGAATTGGCATTATATATTCTTGAAAAAATGGCATTATCTAGAAGTATTGAAGATCTAGATCTCGTTTGACCTAGCAGTCCCAGTCCTTGCTATATCCTAGGGTAGAGACAGGTATCATATTGTGATAGGATAGCCAAATAGGAAAAAAATGTCTGTCTACAGTTGAAAAGGAAATTCTGGTAAATCTATACAGTGGAAAGTTACACATTAATGACAGTGAAGGAACTGCAGTAACATGCAAACAGTATGCGTTATTCCCACCAAAAGCATTATTGAAAAGCAGAACAGAAAACAATATGATTCCATTTAAATCAAAATCAAAAATAAATCATAAAATAAACAGTATTTTGAGATTCAGAGCTAGATGGTAACTCCGAGTAGAACAAGGAATTAGTACCGACAAATGCTATTTTGGGGGGAAGGTTATGATGATATAGATAGAGGCATATGGGTTCTCAAGTGTGTTGATATTTAAAATTATTCATCTGAAAAGAGGCTACCTGGGTGCTAGCTTTGTAATGTATTTTTAAAGGGAACTTTTTATTTTTTTTTATTTTTATTTTTATTTGTAGCGTATTACGGAGGTACAAATGTTAGGTTACGTGTATTGCCCATGCCCCCCCCCAGTCACGAGCCTCAGGCGGACCATACCCCAACGTTCACATCTCACCATTGTGTTTGTATATAACCCGTCCCCTCTCCCTCCCACCTTCCCACATCCGATAAATGTTAACTCTTATATGTCCACTGAGTGTTGATCTATTCAATACCGAATTTGCTGGTGAGTACATGTGGTGCTGGTTATTCCATTCTTGAGATACTTTCCTTCAGTAAATGGCTTCCAGCTCTATCCAGGAAAATACAAAGTCCTTATCATCGTGTTCTTAAGACTGAATAGTCAAGAGATTTCTAGCGAAATGACAATCAAACAATGGTAAAAAGAACATATATTATGCCACTTTTTATTAACCTACTTCATGATTTTTCAACAGTATGAGCAGACAAGTAATTTTTGTCAGGCGAGGGGAGACACTGTTTGCGGGTTTTTTCACTAGCCGCGATATCACTATGTGATAGATGTGCGTGTCCCAGCATAGTTAATCTAACAGAACATTTCAATCATAAATAGTAACATTTTGAGTCTTTTGGGTAGACCCCGTAGTGGAATTGCTTGGATCCAAATTGGTAAGATTCGTACTTGTCCCTTTAAGGTATATCCGTACTGCTTTCCACAGAGGTTTGAACTAGTTGCGTCCACACAGTGTAGGCGAACGTTGTTCCCCGCTCTTTCCACATCCACGCCAAACGATTTATTTTGGAGGACTTTTTGATAAAGGCCATTCTCATGGAGTTTAAATGACATCTCATTGTGGCTTTTTTTTTTTTTTTTTTTTTTGAGACGAAGAGTCTCATTTGTTGCCAGGCTAA